TTTTGTTCCAGCCAAGGAGCTAAGCTGGGTCGGACTGAAGCAAGTTTAAAAGGGATCAGGCAACAATGCCCAAGAACCCGTCTGAAAAATTGAGCATGTTCTATTAAAAACAAAAAAAATTAATAACTTCTGACATTTCGTCACAAACAAAAAGTCACAAAATCCATAGTACTTTAGTTAACGTGAATTTTCTTAGAAATGTACGCAACTTACACTCCCAGCCTTATTCTAAATAATCTCTGCACTAATTGCATGTTTTACTAAAAAATGTGCGAAACCCTACAGTTTGGAATAAATAAATCATTGCCGAATGTGCTCTTGTTTTCCCAACGTTCTCAACGCGAATAACAAAAATAGCGAACGTTCTTTTAATATTTGATTGGAAGGATATGTAAATTATCCACTGGTCGTATTTCGGCACAGTTTCTGATGCGAAAACGAATTCATAGAATTTGAGATCTTCTCTCATAGATTAACAGCCATGAATATGTTAACTGATAGTAGGAGTACAGTTTTCTTCATGAAAGACTAATGACTAAATGAAATGTCATATATCAAAGGTTGAGTTAGCTAGACGGGTAGTCGAGTTGAGTATGAAAGAAGGAAGGATGAGAATACAAACAAGTTCAATGTTTATATTACACAATAAAATTCGTATTGTTCATATGAACATAGAGTGACATCAAACCTTGTAAAACTTTTTTTAGTTTAAATTTGTACACTTTGAGATTAAAAAACCCTTTTAACGGACAAATTAATGACTTTTTGATAAACTAAAAATATTTTATTAAACAAAAAAAAATTTTTTTTCGTAAATAACTGTATAACGAACTTCTCTATAAATTTTTAACTTTCTGCCAAGCAGTCCTTGCGTTTAAAACTTTTGTATACCAAAACTGCTTTATGTCAAAAAATTTTAACGTTATATTGAACTTCCACTGTATAATTTAAAAAAAACTTTATAACAAACTAACTTCAAGTTTCAATTTACCACTACACATTGCATTTACAACTTCTATTTTTTCAGAAAAAATACAAAATAATATTGGGAGACGTACAATAGCTGAACATCAAAAAGTCAAACGTTTTTAGAATAATTCATTCAGAACAGTTAGCACGAGTTTTTGTTTTTCGAATTTTTATGTTAATTTTTATGTTTTGTGCTACAACTAACACTAGAAACTTCTGTCACTAAATTCTTTAGAGCAACACTGTCCGATAGAAGAACAATTTTATCTTTCTATAACAATGTATAACGAAAAAGTTATATTTTTAGCCAAAACTACGCAGTGCACCTAAAACCTTTGTATAGTAACATAAAAACTTTACATAAAAAATTTTTTTTTATTTTTTTTTCTTTTAAGATATAAGAAACAATGTAAATACTAAAATATTTTCTAATAACAAATAAACCCACAGACACATTCTATTTAATTTTCTTCTTTACATACTCATACTTTTGTACAATTTCCCATAAAGATAACCTGTAATAACAATACAAAACTAAAAAATCATTTCCATTTACAACCTTTTCCCAATTAACAAACAATTTATTTATTTACAAAGTTTGTCAACATAAAAACTGAAAAAACGCCTTTGTAAACGTAACGTCGTAACAAATACGATGAATTAGCGCTAAATTGTTTTGTGTGTCCCAAATAGTGTAAAGTAATAGAAACTGTGATACTTTTGAATTGCATTTGGAAGCTTTGAACTTTGGTTTTAAATTTGGTTCTAGGTTTTAATTTTTAAATTAATTGTAACGGTTGTTTCTTACTTTGTACTGTGTTGGTCAGAAAGTCCAAAAACCAAATTTTAATGTTAAAAATTGAGGTTAACATAAAAATACCAAGCAATTCCTGTTTAATAAAATGTCCAAAGATTTTAAATATGTTCGTTATAAAGGTTTTGGTAGAGTGACTGAACTTTGGGGCTCAAACGATATACGGACGTTTTAAATCTTCTGTGTAGTGTTAACCAGAAATTTTGAAGTTGTTTCTTTACGGGATTTTGGTTACCAGAGACTTCGTTACAAAAGAGTAACACTATAAATTAAAAAACCATGCAAGTTTAATACATAAAAAAACTAAATAAAATTTTTATCGGTTAAGAAGAACATCTATAATATTTTATGAGATTATGGCTATAATCCCACGAGAAAACACTGATTTACAAATGTTTCAAAAAGATTTTCTATTTGAAAAGCAAAGTTTAAAAAAACAAAATTTATAAGATTACATTGCGTTACATTGTTAACAAGATCAAGTGATTTCGACCAAAACTTGCAAGCTGAAACTCGTTAATTTGTCGAAAGTCAAAGCAAATTCTAATACAATGGAGCACTTGTGTAACAAACACTATAATAATACTTAACTTACAACTGTTTTTTAAAAATACTTCATTTTGTAGTGCATCAAAAGATTACCGTAACACAAATTCTTTTTTACTTTAGTAAGCAACGACATTAATCGTCTTAAAATAAAGGAAAACACACGTCGTGATATCATTACTTATCATATCGTCTGTTGTTTCTAAGTCGGCTATGACTTAGTCTGACCATCCAAATGACTTAGTCTAGCCACGCAAACAAACTTCTATTAATAACACTATGTTTGGGCTGATAATCTATAACTTTTGTCACCAAAAACAATTTTATTGATCAATTTTAAACCTTTAATTTAAAAAAAATTTTTTTTAAATTGTTTAAAAACGTACTTCAATAAAGGCTGATGTTATGTCGTGTTTTACATTGATTTATCAGCCGTTTCATATAAAACATAATAGTGTAATCGTTAAAAAAGTAACAAGGAAATATGTTCTTTATGAATAAGGTTAAGATTGGCATGTAACTGTCTTAGTTTTTAACATGTTGTCTGAAGTAATATATTCTTTAAAAGGATGTCTAAGATAAGGTCTATCATGTTGACATATAATAGTGTTTTTATTTTTATAGAATTTGATACATATTAAGTTGTATAAAAAGTAATGAGCCAATCATATTAAGTTGTATAAAATTTAATAAGCTGCGTCTCAAAACGGATTTTCAATATCATGTCTATAGTCAAACTTACAACAATATTTGTAAACTTGTTAGCCAACTTCATGCTCTTTTCAGTATGTCTTCTTAAAATAGAAGTATAAACATATCATAATACAAAAATATACTTTATCATGTAAGCTACTTACTATGATATCAATTCAAACTTTAATCCCAATTCAAAAAACCTTCAATCATCATATTATCCTTTATCGCTACATATTTGTAAGCTTTTTAAGTAGGTACTATGTAAAGTAAGTAGATACTGAAAAACTTTCCTTTAATATGTCTGTACTAAAAAAGATTTAAATCGTAAATGTAAAAGTAGATGTGTATAACAAAGCACAAAATATATGTAGCTAACAAAACACAAAAGAATCAAAAGATTGCCCTTAGCTGAGTTTTAAAAAACTCCACTTCAGCAGAGTATTAATACTGTAATTATCAGCTTATCTAAATGAAATGTCTGTTTTTTCATATTGGTAACATCCAGAAATGGATTACACTTGAAACCTCTGTAAATGTCATTTACAAAACATGCTTACGTGTTTAAACATTTGGAAAACATCATACAGTAAAGTAAAGCTCCTGTATAAAGAATATTTTGAGGGTTTCAGAAAGCACAGGCTGCGTAAGACATGTTATACTATAAAAGTTGTTTTGAAAAGCTAATAATGAAAAAAACAGTTGTACTCTTGTATAAAACATTTCTCTAAAACAGAAAATCTTTATATTAGATGTTAACATAAAGAACCCGACATACCTTTTCTGTAACTTCCTTTAAAACATGGCGGGTTCTTTATGTCAAAACCTAATAAAAACAAAATTTTTTATTTTTAAGTCATGTGTTATACAAGAGACCTACTGTAATATTTTAAAAGTACAAAAGCTATGCTTTATTTCAATTATTTTTAAAATATTTTTAAAGTTCGTATTTTAAAGAACAAAAAACTGACCGGAAAAAGTTATTACGCATAAACCAAAATAGTATTTATTGCGTGACACTCAAAAACAAAATTGTCTGGAAACGTTTTTAAACTTAATTAAACCCCCTCTTTCTTATTTTTAAGTGTGGAACATTACAGTAAAATTTTGTCAAAACTAAATTTAAATTTTTTGGTCTCTGATCTTCATTTAGCTTTAAACTTATAGAAAAAGGTAAAAACATAAAAAATCAAACTAAGAAAAAACATGCTTGAATATTACCTATTACGATATCCTGGCTGTGTCACTGATCACACTAATGAATATTGGAGAATAGTCTTAATGTAGACATGTCTCTTTCAAGAAACAGAAAAAATAGATAGTAATTCTATTTTTAATGTGATATCTCTATACTCTATATAAAACCTTCTTGCAACCAGCCCAAGCCACGTGTCAAGCCTTGGTTTAAGCTCTGGCTTTCGAGCTTACGGGTGTCGCCTCGCTGGCCCGGTATCTTTGTTTCGGCTTGGCCCGTTATGTACTTTTGCAAGTCAACTACTTCGTTGCTGGACGTAAGCTGGATTCCTAAAGCCTTAGTTTTAGCCTCGACTTTAGGATCCACATGTGCCGGCTCCTTTTAAAGTTGCTTCAGCTCGGCTCAGATCAACCCACAGTCGGGCCGGATCTAGTCTGGGCCAGGTCTAATAGGCCCTTGGTCTCGTTGCAGTTCATTTTAAAAAAACAGTTGTTGCACGTTTCAAAGCTTTCAAAACACTCCGACGAACGCCAGTAGTCTCAGACAATAGGCCGTATAATTCATGAAAATTAATTGTTTATGAATGGCCAAATGATCGCTATCATCAGAAGCATTATAATTTAATAATCTGTCATCAGAATATTAATTTTTTGTTTTTCTTTGATTTCCAATGTAGTAATGTTTATGAACTTTGTATGTTATGTTGTTTTTGTAATTTTGAACATTTTGTGCTGTACAGTATGGGCTAAGAAGTATGACATCCACAGCTTACTTAAGCTACCAATGAAGCCTAAACTTAGACAGGACTTGTCTTTGGTAAGTTCGCAAAACGTATTTGTTTAAATAATTCTGTGCCCCTCTCAAAGCCAGTTTTTGGAGCTTGGGGCACAAAATAACTTGAACTAATAATCAATATAAAAAAGTATTTAGTAAGATGTTTTAGCTATCATTACATGGTCTAGCCCTAAACGACACACATATAACACCTCAATGCTTCCCAGATCGGTTAAATCTACTAAAGCTTGAGTTGGAAGATCTGACACTTCAACAACTCAAAATTGAAGAAAAGAAAGTTGAAATACGACGAAAAATAGTGTTATTGGAAACAGAATGTGAAGCTGCTAGTCAACAACAAGCAAAGATTTGTCTTATGACAAAAGGTAGGAAAGTTATAAATTTTTTATAAAACTTTTGTTATGAGACCTAGTATTACAGACAATGTTGCCAATACCTTTGTATAAACTTAAAAAAGTTATTTTTTAAAATTTTTAAAATTCAAGTTTTGTTTTCTCATATTTTATAAAATACGCCTTTTAGCTAGCAGAAAGTCAAAGAAAAAGAAACGACCAAGAAAGGATAAAGATAGAAGTAAACATAAACAAAAAAAGCCAAATGAAATGCCAATATCTAAAACAGCTAACAAGATTGTAATAAGGGACAATGATATAGTAGAGAATGAAAACATGGCTACAGAAGAACAATTTTCAAGCAGAATTAAAGTTGAGCAAATACAACAACAATATAACGAAGAAAAAGAACGTGACGAACAAGAAGAAAAAAGCTTTAATAAAGAGCAAGAAAGGAAAGAAGACTTTAAGCAAGAGCAAGAAGAACAAGATGAACAACAGCGTATAAATAAGGAAGAAGAAGAAAAAATATATGAGAGAAGGCACGAGCAAAACGAAGAAAATTATGATAGAAAACAAGATAAAGAGGAAATAGTAGTAGACGAAGCGCAACAAGAGCTACCGGAAATAGAAACAGCAGGACCAATTGATGAAGACGTTATTAAACAAGACCTTATTCGGCACTTTACACAATTACCAAAGTTCCAAAAAGTAGCCAAAATAAGAAAGATACCAATAAAACGAAAATACAAGCTGCCAAAGAAGTCAAAACACTTACGGAAGAACAAAGACAAAGTCAGTAGTAATAACCTCTTGAGTAGTCAATCAGAGATGGTTTTAAAGAACGACAATGTAGAAGAAAAACACTCAAAAGCTACAAAGTTTGAAAAAACTACAAAGTTAGAAGAAGGTAATATTAAAAAAGACATTCAATTTGAAGAAGCTACCAAATTTGAAGCAAAACAAGATGTTATTGAACAAAAACAAACTGTAGTTCGACCATACTCGGAAAAAATAGCTACAACTATAATGCCATTTTTAGAAGCAGTAATTGAGACTAAAACTCAAAAAGCAGACAGATTTGCTCGGTATAAGAATAAAGTAAAGGAACGAGAGGAACGTATTAGAAAGAACCAATATAATGAAGAAAAACATCACAAAATAGAAAAAGAAGAAGATAAAGAAGAAGATAACGAATATATAATAGAAGACGAAGAAGAAGATAAACCGTTAAAAAAAGAAGAAAAGCATCAAGAGAATTCAAAACAAAAAAAAGAAAAAAAGTTCAATAAAGAAAAGAATGATCAAAGCTCTGACAATTCAAATATAATTCAAGAAATTGACGAAGATGAATTTACAAGGAAAAGCTGACAAAGTAGACAAAAAACTTAGAAATACAGCTGATGATGTTAACAAAGGCAATTTTAATGCCATAGAAGATAAAAAAACAGCGTTTGAAGGTGCTCACGGCAAATTAATAGACACAGAAGCTGACGTTAACAGTGGCAATATTAAACCAAGAAAAAATAAGAAGAAGAGTAAAGAGAATAAAATAAAAGATAACATACCACGTCTAGAAGAACAATTAACCAAGGTAGAAAAAGCCAATAGTAAGACTGAGGACTTCAAAGAAGTAGTTATAAACAAAGTCAATAAAGCCCAACTGAGTAAGAAATTTGTTGAGCAGCCAAGTCAAAGTGGCGTCGGCGAACCACAAGTCAACGTTATTCCAGTAAAACATAATGACAAATTGAGAAGACCAGTAGTAACTGAAGATTCAAGCTCATTACAAGAAAACCCTGAGAAGGCTGATGATTTAAAAACGGTTGAGAAAAGCTTTGAAGAAGGTGATGAAAAAGATGATAGAAAAGCCATTAACAAAATTTTTGAACGAGCAAATAACAACAGACGTAAAGATAAAGGCCATCAAATACCAATTCAAAATATAGAAGAAGATTTTGAGCTAATTACGGTAGTAGTACCGTATTTCGACAAATACAAAAAGTTTGCTGACAGAAATTATAACCGGAAAACTAATAGGGATAAAAAAGTAAAATACGGCAAGAAGCATCGAAAGAAAGACATTATTAAAGGTAAAGAAACAGATGAACCCTCAGAACTCAAAAACAACGATAAAAGCTCAGATTCAGAAGATTTAATAGTAGAAACAGCAACAATAAAAAGTCCAATTCCTGTACTGACAACAGTAGAACCAGATGTTACAGCTACAACGGTTGAATATCAGTTTGTAACTGAGGTTGTGACATTATCTATGTTGGAAAATGGTCAGGAAACTATAGAAGAAAGTCGAGTTAATGATAAAAAGAAGATGAATAATGAGAAGGATAAAAAGGTAAATAGCAACAAAAATAAAAAGACAAAAAACAACAGAAGAAAGGAAGAGCAATCAAAAATAGAAGAAGAAAAAGATGTAAAAGACGCCATAAAAAATAGGTTTGTTAAAAAGAAGAACGATACAAACAAGCAAGAAGACAATAAAGAAGAAGAAGATGATTTTATAGAAGAAGATACGAAAAACTATGATTCTGAGGATAAAACAAAAGCTAAAAGTAAAGATGATAGTCAAACTCAAAAGAAGAAAAATAACCGACAAAAGAATCGTAAGGACAAAGGAAAGGCTGTGAGCAATGACAAAGATAGTGATGAATTTATAGAAGATGACGAAGCTTCGTACGATAACAACAAAAAGACAAAAACAGAAGACAATAAAAAGACATCAAAACAAGACAATAATAAAAAGACAAATCATACAGCCGACGACGATATTATCGAATCTGATGATGAATCTGAATTAACGCAAAACAAAGATACCAAAAATGATAGTATTAAAGACAAAAAGTCAGAAGCAAAGAAGGCAGAAAACATAAACAAAAAAGACGAAAAAGAAGACGATGAATTCGTTGAAGAAAACGAAACTGGCTATAATGACAAGGTAGACGATAAAAAGAAAGAAAAAGAAGCAAAGAAAAGTGTTGACAAAAACGTTAAAATTGATGAAACTAAAAAAGATGAAGATGAGTTTGTAGAAGAAGATGATAGTGATTACAATAAAGAAAACCAAAGCGGTGTAAAAAATGAAGAAAAAGAACATAAAAAAGAAGAAAAAAGCCAAAAAGAAGCGTTGAAAGAACAGAAAGAAAAAGAAACAAAAGAAAAAAGCAAAGAAGATAATGCCAATGACAAAGATGATGACGAATTTGTAGAAGAAGATGATAGTAATTACAATAAAGAAAAAGAAAAAGATGCAAAAGATGAAGATAAAAAACTTAAAGAAGGAGGAAAAGAAGTCAAAGAAAAAGGAAAAGAACATAGTGCAAATGACAAAGATGATGACGAATTTGTAGAAGACCAAGAAAACGGCTTCAAGGACCAAAAAGAAGGATCAAAAACCAGATAATATAGATGGTAATAACAAATTTGTTGAAAGTGAATAATTTTTTATTGTTTTAAACTTTTTTTTAATAAAATATTATTTATAGTTCTTACTGTACTTTAAGAGAATATATTTTTTTGATTTTGTAATTTTTATTTTTTTGGTTTAGTAAATACATCAAGTAAGCTTTAACCACTATACAATTAAATTTTATTTATTATGCGTTCATACCACAATAAATTAACCACACTTTTAAATCAACATTCATATTTTCATATAAACAACAATGATAACTTGTTTATGTTAACACGCGTTGACATATTGAGTTTAATGACCGCAATAGATAATGACCTTCAAACAATGGAAGGTAACTCCTGCAGTCGTTTTTACCATCCGTTTTTTTCTTCTTCATTTGGAGGACATCTTCTTCAGAGAAAGGCGGAAATGTTTGTATTTTTTTGATCTATAGCGTCTTGCTACGCTTTTGGGTAAGCGGGCTTAAAAATGCTCGTTTTTGAATTTAAATTTTTTCAAAATTTAAAAGTTTTATAATTTTATACTATTTTTCGTAAGATCTACGGTACTCTCTCTATATAAGCAACCCGCAGGGACCGACATTTCGTGTTTACTATAGAGGGTGTTGTCTTTACAGAGTGATTTTTAGTGCAAATTGACTTAACGTGACCAAATTTCTTGTTTACTATAAGGAGAGTTGCTTATACAGATGGTTCACTATATAGAGAAACCACTGTATATCTTTTTCATCTAGAAGCACCTAAAAGTACTACAAAGTAATAATTTCTTAAAAATTTGTAATGTCTTAGGTTGTTCGAATAAACATGTGCTCTCTTTAAAAGCAACTTTTTAAGGTTATTTAGAAGGGACAGAATCTTTTGAAAGTCTAAATAACTTTTTTTTTGTAAAATACGTCGTCTTTTTTTCAAATTTTAAACCTAACGTGAAGAATCACTTCCCAACCTACCCTAATACAAAACTCAATTAAAATTCTAAACTTTTTCTAATTTGTTTTAATTAGCAACTGCATTCCTGGTGTCTGAACCATTCTGAACTGTAGCTGCTTTTTCTCCCATTTAACGTTCCGATTACTTAATTACAACGACTTTTCACGCTGAGCTATCGAATACGAATACTTTTGTTTTGTTTTACTTTTTCGTCTTCCGATGGGGAGATACGAACGGGGGGGAGATTCCGTAAATTGACTGAAGATCAAAATTTTATATTAATATTACCTATTACGCAACGTGAAGGATTTTTGTATTTTTCTTTTTAACTTTTTAGAATTTTTATAAAAGTTTAAAATCTGAAACGTATGGTGCTATATATTAGTAAAAAACGTCAAGTTAAGCTACACCAAAAAACTAGGCTCGGTTTGAAGACATGATATACTCTTTCTGAGCCACGTTTTTCTGTGGTTGGCTGGAATAAGTTAGATCAATTCAGAGTAACCAGGGGAGAAGAAGCAAGGCTGGGCATTGAAAGTTAGGGGGATACTAGGGTGGGGTATAACAAGATTGGTCAATTAAGATAGGTTAGGGAAGAGCAAAACACCTTAAGGTGGAGAAGGCAGAGCAAAACATTTAGGTTAGGGTAGGGTAGGGTAGGGTAGGATAGGGTAGGGTAGGGTAGGGTAGGGTAGGGTAGGGTAAGGTAGGGTAGGGTAGGGTAGGGTAGGGTAGGGTAGGGTAAACTTTGTTTAGTCTTCTCATGTGACTCAGCTATCTGTACTCAAATGTACTTCTTTATCATTGTGAAACGTAATTATTTACAATGGCAGCGTATTGCAGTAACCACTGTGAGATGTAACGTGTAATTAATTTGTTTTACGACAAGAAAGTGTGCAAATCAACGTTGTAATAGCGTTTTGCTAATTAATGTCTTGTCGAAAACTTGATTACATTCTCAGTAATGATTATGTTTACCGGTGTCTTTGTGACTCTTGTGCTACTGATTGCTTTTTGATTATATTGAGGGCACTTTGAAATAAAACAGGATAACTTAGGCGGTTTTTGTAATCGTATTGTTTACTGCGTTATACCTAAATATTTATAATGGCGACTGAAAGTAATTTTTTTATCTTTGTAATTCGAAATATATTTTTTTTAACTATTTTATACTTTAGGTAACGTTAGACTACCTTTCCCCAACTTTTTGTTGTTTAGTTAGATCTTTATTCGGAATAATTTGTAAATTGTAAACAAAAATGCGGTTTAAAGAAGGGGAAAAGGCGCAAACGAGGCGTCATTTTGTTTACAACAGATTTAGAAGAAGGAGAAGCACCTTCACCTTTGCCGTTTCCTATCAACCCAAATTCGAAAGGTATTAAGACTTTGTTTCCGGAGGGTGCGCGGCGTTTTTCTCGACGAAATAACGGTTCGAGAAACCGCTAAACCGTAAAAACTTTAGATTTTTCAGGGTTTTGTGGATTTTTATATCTGATTTTTGAAACGAGGTGGTAAATTTAGTCATACATTTTGTAAAATACGTCCAGTAGTCCTATACTAATCTAATATTTACCTTAATTTTTATTTTTACTACGTGAAAAGCTATGTCAAATTATCCTTAATTAAAGTTTTTAAAACTTTCAGTACTGGTCCAATGTCCCAGTACCATTCCCGTACGCCGTCTGGCCATCCGGGACCCAGATCACCAGCACCACCTCCAGCTGGTCAACCCGGTCCACCCCCAAGCACTTTCGAAACTCATGAGATTCCACCATCAGAACGGCTTCAGATTCCAGATATTCGAATCAAACGTTCCGGATCAGCTACACCACTACAGTTTGGTTCAACTCCACAAAACTACTCTGGACCACCACCTCAAAACTACAGTGCTAATAATCCTCAAAATTTCGGACCATCACCACAAAACTATGGTCCGTCTGAACATAACGTGCCTGTCCGTGCTCACGGCCAGCCTCCAGCCGCATTCCAGAACGATGCATTCTTTAATGAAAGAATCACAATCCCTCGACCGGTCGCTATGAACGAACAAGAGCACTTTTCTACCGAAGAGTACGACAACAAGGACCGCGGGAACATTGATGAAGAGGAACATTCGTACGACAAGCAAGTCCGTCATTCTCACTTCCGTTCCGGCTCACTGCCAGCGAGACGTTTTGGCGAACGCTCATTGTTTGCCGACCGGTCGATGTACGATGAGCGTGGTGATGCCGCAGCTCGAGGTGGTGGCTATCATTACAGATGGAACTATCATCATGGACCAGAGAGACGAGAGGCTCTACCTCCACCTGGATATGAACATAGAGAACTGACTAATGAACCGTGGAGAGAATATGAACAGAGAAGAGAGACGGTTAATTCAGAGAGATTCAGGAGTGAACAGGCTTTCAGAGAGGAGCAACAGAGACGAGAGGAGGAAGAGAGAAGACGGTTTGGGAGTAGTCAGCAGAGAAGTCAGGCTTACAGATCGGCTAGTGTTGGTCCGGTTGGAAATGCAGGTAAAGGTAGTATAAAGCAGGGTTGTGTGGAGCAGGGTAGGGTACAGTAGGGTTCACTAAAGTTGAGTAAAGTAGGATAAAGTAGGCGTAGGATAAAGTAAAAATTCAAAAAAAAATTTTGAAAAAATAATCAAAATTTTAGGAGAACGCTACGCCTACGAAGAGCACTACAGTGGTGGTCTAGGCTCAAACTACCGACCAGAGTACTCAACCACACTTCGTCGTGACGCCCGTAGTCAACAACGAAGCTCTCACATGCAAAGTCAAGGTCGCCAAGCTGGAGGTGGATCTTCAGGCTGGGCCTTCTCATCATGGGGCAACGGTAATCGCTACGGCCAACCGATCAAAGAGCAACGCTACAAGAAGATCAGATGTTGTTGCTTTAGTTTCTACTGGCCTCCATGGGGATACGAGGATTCTGAGCCTCCACGGCCAATGTATCCTAAGGCGCCTGGTCCTCCGCCAACGCCAGCTCATCTCGGACCTCCACCACCGCTTGAAGACTATCATGGTGGACCTCAGAAACGGCCATACTAACATTAGATTGATTAGAAATTTGATTTTTATTATATTATAATATCTAGCAGGTTTTAGTTTAATAAGGTTGATTTTTAACTTTCAGGTTAGTTTTTATATTAACATTGGGTTATTTTCTTCAAAATAGGTTAAAAACGACTTTTTTCCTTTACGATCTATCTACAGTATCACTTTTTTAGATTAAAAAAACCGTTTTTCAAATTTTTTCGTTAAGAATATAGTTGTAATTCATAAAAAACATATCTTTTTATAAAGCTATATTATTATTATACTGTAGCTTTTAATAGTTTTTAGCTTAAAAAAACTGTTTATAATAGACATTGCTCTCTATTATAAGTTTGTATCATGTAAACACTGCCTTATAATCAATATTCAGGTCTTTATTGTAAAAATATTTTTAAATAAACTACTTTGTAAAAATAAAATTAAAAAAAATAAATTTTAAACAGGGAAAGTATGTAAAATACGTATAATAAAAATAAAAAAAAATAAAAACAAAAATCTAGGCTTTACATTTGGTACTACTATATATAAAATATAAGGTACAGAAGAAAAATTTTGTACTGTATAAGATCAAAACTATAATAAATTATAATACGACGCTAACAATAGGTTTCTAAGCCGTTAAAACTATAGTAAACAATATAAAAAAAAATTTCAAAAAATATTTAAAAATAATGTCATCACAATTAAAATAGCTCTAACAGATATAATAAAGAACATCAGTGAACATAGATGGCCAAAAATATAAATAAAAGTTAAGTAATGAAAATACAAGCCCAACGGCAAAAACTGTATAAGTAATGTTGTTGTTAGGACAAACCCATATTATGGTTACAATTTTGGAGGTTTAGATGGTTTCAAAAATGAAAGATCAGATGTTATTGTACTAGGCTTTTCAAATAATTCTGTGCCTCCTAACTGCAAACTTTTTTTTCAAAATTCTCAAAGCAAATATTTAAGTTTAGGGAGCACTGAATTAATTGAACAACCCAATAGTATTATTTTAAGACCTCATAAGCTGAATAAATTGATTGTAGGTGATCTTCCCAGTGTTTTCTTTGTCCGTCTCTTCAAACATGTAGTCTATAATGTCACCGCTGGAAATGTCGGCCGTTTTTGTTAGAATGTCGGCTAGTTCACCTGAATATAGAGGTACACATTATGATGTTCGGTAAAATACGGAAATTTTCCATCATTTTTTAAAAATATTAATGCCTTGTTAAAATACGTAGATAATCCATATTCAAAAGGTAATTTAAAAAAGTTTTGTCGTTTTTGGTCGTACAAATAAATATAAATTGACAACAAGACTTTTTTATCTTTATGTAACTAATTTTAAATAAAGCTACATTATTTTCAGTAACAAATCAGTACAAATTACCTTTGGTGATAGCCCCATCATTGTCCCGATCGTGTTCCTTGAATTGCTTTTCTAACTCAGCGACGGTCAATTGATGAATGGGAGGGCATTTCATGTATTCCAAGAAGTCGTGCTTGTTTATCTTTCCGGTCTCTACAAAAATATGCATTTCACAACGTTTTCATACATTTTCTATGTTTTCTTGGTAACACATGTTTTCAAAATGTCACAAAACAGCCTGTTTTTAAGCTTATCAGCCTTGACATCTTTGGAAATAGCGGAACTTTTGTATATCGAATCGATTACTGCCTTTACACTTGTTCGTTATAAAAGAATTTCGTTACACTGGAGTTGTAAGTGCACTGTGTACTATTGAGCAAATATTTAAAATTTTTTGTTATTTGAAAAGCTTGTTAGAAAAATTTTACTGTACTGTAAGTACCAAAAGAAGAAACATACCATTTCTGTCCATTTCGTGAAAGATAAAGTTCAATTCAGTTCTGTTTGGATCAACATTGATAGTACGAAGAAGACAAGCGACTTCAGCACGGCTCAAGTTGCCATCTTTGTCCATATCCAAAAGATCGAAGGCGTCTGACAAGTCTAAAAAATCATTTTTAGATTAAAATGTTAGCTTTGACATAATGAACTTTATAAAAAATTAGTTTTGTTGATTGATCAATTTAAAAAGTATAGTTTGTTAAGTACAGGTACTTATAAACTAATCAAACCAACTAATTTCAATCCTTCTTACCATTGTCATCAAGAACATAGCGTCGACAAATAAAAGAAGCTGCCATTTTGCAATAGTATACAACTTGAACTTAAAAGTTGAGTAATTCAAAGTATTGCCCTTTTCTGAAACATGTTAGTATTTAAAAGTTCTGACATTTTTTATTCACGTCACGAAACAGAACGGCGCAACCAGTGCCCTTTGTTAAGCCTTAAAGACCCTGCATCGTTTTATCAAAAAAGAGTGGCTAAATTTGAAAAATCGGTCCGCATGGTCAATTTACAGTATTTTTTATTATTTTTAGACAAAAGGCTTTTTTTGAAAATACAAATTTTTTACGCTTTATTGAACGTGTACTATTAAAATGTAGAAAAGTAAATGTAAACATTATGACAAAATATACATTTCATTCCGTGTTTTTCGCTTGGGTAATTCTAAACAAAGAACAAGGATTCAGTTTTATATAAAGGAATACGGTTTTATCAAAAAAATCAACGTAAAACTAAAAAAAAAGTGGCAGTACAAACCGGCGCTAGGACAAATGCGGTTTTTGAACATTTGCAGATCTTTAAAGGTTTTTTTTATATTTTAGTAAATTTAGTTGTAGTATGGTACTAAATGGTACTAAATTTTAAATTAATACTGTTTTGATATTTTATGATGCTAAATAGTACTAAATTTTAAATTGTTACTGTTTGAATATTTTTTGGCACTAAGTAGTACTAATAGCCCAAAATGGTACTGTTATGTTAAAACTGTACCAATTTAAACTTTAGTACCATTTAATACCATACTACAACTAAATTAACAAAAAAGTAAAAAAAAACTAAAAATCCGCAAGTGTCCAAAAACCGTATTTGTCCTAGCGCCGACAAACCTCCTCTTTAGTATGACACTCAAGAGCCTGACCCAAACCTGTATTTATAAACAAGGTGTCGCACTACACAGACACTATTCAATACATAAAATCACCATAGACTAACCGTTGTTAAAGCCTAGTTTCAAGCCTCTAGCCAGTATGAAACTAAAGTTACACGCTTTTGTCAGTTCATAAAACCACCCTTTTGAGCCTACGAACAAGCCACTTCATTAGGTATTAACCACACGTTCAGCTTACAGTTTAAAAAAGCTTAAAATAAGGCAATTGTCGTCACACTGAAAGCCTCGTCAAACACTTTGACAACCTCTTTTAAATTCTTTAAATTTTTAAAAGTAAAAAAACACCTTGATGCTCAAAAAAACTGAAATTTGTGGTAAAGTTTTGTCGAGTTAAAACTTATATAAATTAAAGCCAAAACTTTTTTACCTTCTACTAATATTACAAAAATTAAAAAACTCCGTTATTTTGTGACAAAACTCAAAATATCTTACTTTACCTAACCTCACCATAACATCCAAAAACCTGATCACACTAAGATCAAAGAAAGTGAACCGAACTGAGACATATCATATTCTACTTTCCGAGTTCAAAAGGGATTTGCCTTTGGTCTTTTCAATTGTTAAAAACGAAAAAAAAACCATAAGAATCACTGAGCTGACAAATCACAGTGCAATCACATTCATCACGTTGAGTTCAATTTTTCACGCCGGAAACATTTGAAATGAAATTTTGAGAATTGAAAGTGATAATGGGAAAGCAATGAGGTCATTAAGTTTTGTTAGTTGAAGAAGGTTATTAGTATAGTAAAAATGTTATAACCAAGGCCAAGCGGGGACTTTTGGTCTGGGGGCAGAAGTCGAAAAAATCTTTACAGGTACCTGTGCACCCCGACCATTCACCTCAGTGTCCGGCCCTATTTATAACCATTAATACAGTGCAACTCCTGCATAACAAACTCCTCTGGCACAAAATGTCAGTACTACAAACAACTTTTAAATCTTGTGCAACTTGTTATATTATACATGAGCTCTACTGTATTAATAGTTTTATTAAAGAAGTAAGTTTTTACATATCAAAGTTTTTTTTACTACGCAAAGAATCTATCGTGTTATGTGCTGTCTCTGTGCAAAATTGTCAGCAAAAAGTTAGATATTTTCAAAAATGTTTGCTTTTTACACTCCAGTAGACATATTGTTACAAAAATTCTTCTACAAACTCTTGCAAAGACTTTCTTTGTGCCAACAATTGCAAGCAAGTGTGAATGAAACACTGGCTATTTAAAGAGGTACACCTGTAGAAGACTCCGAGCTCTGCTATAACAATCTCTCTCATATAACAAGAAACTTCTAAACCTTTAACTAACACTACACAGTGCATTTAAATCTCCTGTATAACAAAACTCGTTTATGACGAACAAATTGTAAACCGAAAAACGATTCCTTATACAGAAGATATCTCCCCCCCCCCTTCCCTTCCCTACCTCTACCTTTCACACACAGCAAAATCCAACTACTTTTACTCGACTATACTATGTTACTATGTCATTCCTCTCCCTTCCAACCGCCATTTATAGCCGCACGTTTCACAAAATTAAATGAAATGTAAGGACGGGTTTAATTTGGCATTAAACCCAATAATCTTTATCTGCTCGTACTACTGCGGATACGATAGCTAAATGCATTCGAAAGTAAAGTCAGAAAAGGCTTTGTTAGCGTGAAAATTGGCTTTCTGGCAGCGTTATCTCTCCGTTCGTGTCTGAACTTTGGAGGTTTGGTGGAGCTATTTTTGGCCATTCTTGGAAACTATAAAGTTGCTTTCGTATGTGTCAAACATGGTTTGACAAAGAATTTATGTTTTTGAAATGTTTGATCTGGGAGGGACATAGTGAATATAAATTTTAAGGTATATTGAAGGTAATGGCACTTAAAGTCATCACAAAAGAATTTACCTTGGCATTAAGTCAGCGTTGGACACAAAGCAAATTTCCATACCCTAACCTCAATATCACACAAAATCAACAATATTGTTGTTGATTATCCGCTAAAAACCATGCGAAAGCCCTCGACACCAACAGTATTTATATTGCCTTTTTAAGAACGCCCTTGATTGACAAATGGGCGTGGCATTAAACAGAGATGGCCAAAAACCTCACGTGAAGTTATCAGTGGGGAATACAGTCTCCAGATGTCAGAAGAAAAAACAATGTTTTGAGTTTGGAAAAAGTTTTGTTTGATATCAAACCGGAAGTGGAGATGACAATATGTAAGGGTAGAAGAATGAATGTAAGAGTAACTGGGGTATGACAAATGTATGTAAGAGTAAAAGAACAATGTGATATATAGTATAGTAGAAAAGTGGCTACGTTACGCTGTCCTACAATTGCCTTTGCCCTGCCTTTGCCCTGCCTTTTGCCCTGCCTTTGCCCTGCCTTTGCCCTGCCTTTGCCCTGCCTTTGCCCTGCCTTTGCCCTGCCTTTGCCCTGCCTTTGCCCTGCCTTTTGCCCTGCCTTTTGCCCTGCCTTTGCCCTGCCTTTGCCCTGCCTTTGCCCTGCCTTTGCCCTGCCTTTGCCCTGCCTTTGCCCTGCCTTTGCCCTGCCTTTGCCCTGCCTTTGCCCTGCCTTTGCCCTGCCTTTGCCCTGCCTTTGCCCTGCCTTTGCCCTGCCTTTGCCCTGCCTTTGCCCTGCCTTTGCCCTGCCTTTGCCCTGCCTTTGCCCTGCCTTTGCCCTGTCTTTGCCCTGCCTTTGCCCTGTCTTTGCCCTGCCTTTTTTTACCCATACCTTACTCTACTGTACCTTACTCTTTACACTTTTTTTTGTACTAATTTTCAATCTACAATAAATCATACGAACCCTCATACTATTAAACCTCACACATTGCCCCATACCCTCAACTAACATAAGATAAGACGATTACAGTTTTTCTTCTCCAAAATTACTCCCGGGAGACTCCGAGGTCAGAGTGCTACCACAGTGACAAAACAGTCTTTAGAAAACGAAATTTAAATTCATTTTTCAATTACAATTGAATCTGCAGCAAAGTAAACAAACAACAATCTTACAATGGCAAGCTGATGTACTGTGGTAGAAAAGAATGGCACAACGAGAAAAATTTTATTGCAAAATAAAAAAATGCAAAAGAATGGCAATAAATCGCGATTTCTCAATGGCAAAGTAATTTAAAAGCAAGAAAAAATGTTAAAAAGCTGTTTTTTACTGCAGTAACTACTGACAATCCAAATCAAAACAGCCATTGTTAAATCGAATAATAGTGCCATTGTTAAAATTCAGCAAAATTTAAAGCCTAAAGCTTTAAAATAAAAAAATGAAGCTTTAGAACTGACAACTTCTGAATACTGTGTAGCTTCACGTTGTTACCACAATGACTCGTCAAAGCTGTAACTCTCGTTTATATAGCTCTTTTTCTTGGTTTTGATTGCGGAAATACGTAGATTTTAGAGAAAAAAGTTCATAAAAGTTGCGTAGAATTTTGCGTAGGCATCTGCGTAGGCTTTGCGTTAGCGTAAATAGAGAAACAAAAGCCGAAGACAATAAAAGCACAGTAAAAAGACTCAAAACTTATCAAAAATAGAAAAAATCCTAATATTAACCTTTGGAAGTTAAAGTTTTAATCACAAAATATAAATTTTAATTTCAAAAAAATATAAAAATAAGTCTTAAATACCCATAATTAAAAGTTTACTACATTTACTTTTACAAAAAGCTGAAAAAAATTAATCATAAGCTTCCAAAAAGTGACTCGACCACGGCAGGATTCGAACCTACAATCTTCGGTTCCGTAGACCGACGCGTTATCCATTGCGCCACGCGGCCACGTTCTGAAGGTTTCTTTCTATTCTCTTTCAGTCTCTATAACGGCTTATTAAATAGGTAATACTACTTATAAAAGTTGAAATTGACATAAAAGACTAATTTTAGATAGCATTGCACAAAACGTTTCAGAAACTATTTTTTTTTGCCCAAAAACTAAAATTGTACAACAAAAACCAGAATGAACTTCCGTCAAAGACAATCGAACAAGATTCATGGCGTTCTTTGCCCCGCGGCCATTCATTTCAATTGGAAGTATGGGTGTTTTAAAGAAAGCCAAATTAGATCCCAACACAAAAAACCCACTCCCATATGTAATCACATTAGTGCTTATAAGGAAAACAAAACGATCTTTTAAATT